GGGGGGGGGGGGGGGGGGGGGGGGGGGGGGGGGGAAGGGCTGCTGTGTGAGAATGGTGACCGCGGAGTCGGAGGCATTGAGATGAGTTGAGTGAGAACGTGGCGCAGCCACGTAGGGGAGAGGAGGTGATGGCTGGATGGGAGAAGGATCCGTGTGCTGATTTTGCCGCAAATGCGCGGGTATGGAAGGTGCTCGGGAGGGCGACATACTGCAGAGAGTATAGAAGTTTGGTGGAGGGGAGTGGGGGGGCGGGGGGAAGAGGACTGACAATGCATAAACACACTTTTGGGTGCTGGATTCGAGACGCGGGGAGAGGGTTGTGATAGGCGGTGGGGGAGGGTGATGGTATGTGTGGGTTTCGCGCGCAGAGACTCGAGGCAGGGGGATCGGGTCGGGTGAGTATCTGTGAGAATTCGTCTGTGAGAATTCGATAGCGAGAATTCGATAGCGCGAGTGAACACGTCGGAAAACACTAGGATGGAGGAGTGCCAGTGATATCTCGCGGCCAGTATATCGCCACCAACCACTTATCGCTTTAATGGAAAATTGGAACTTGAAGGTCTAGTGTGCTGAGGGCCAAACAGCTGTTCCTCATTAAGCAAAGAAATAAGCTACACGCAGCTGAGAGGGATCGAAAGCCTGGCACAACTACGCCCGGCGTCTGAGGACATCCCAGTCCGCGTATTTGCGGCAATCTTGGCAAACATGCTACTTAAAAAATAACTTACTGGTTCAAAATACAGAATTGCTGGTACGTACTGCCAAACTGGTACTGCCACGAGCATGTTTGAATTGAAAAACTCTGACATATTCACTGTTGTGATACTCCTGAGAAAGCTTTCCGAATTTCTCAGGCACGCAAAAAGTGAAATAACGCTAATTTCATTTTTTCTGATACTTTGACATGCTGCTTTCCTCAGTCGTTGAACTATACGCATTTCAGGGTGCCGACGAACAAGGTGAAATGCATAAGCGGCAAAAATGACGAGTGGGCACATTGGATTATGCATTTAACGGAAACGCAGTTAACACTGCCCCGTCGCACGCAGGAACCCATATTTATTATCATCGGACGTGAAGACGATGTGCGCCGTACGTTGCGTACGGTTGAAGATATGACGAATGGAGATTATACTTTGAATGGTTCGCATCTCGATCCACTTCGGGAAAGGGATTATGCATTCGTAAGTGAGCCGAATTTCAAGGAGAACGGAATTCACTATACGCTTTGTGTGCATGGGCAGATCGATGAAAACGATTATCTTCCTAAATGCAGCAAAAACAATGCGAACTCGCAGAAGAAGCAGGTCTCGGATGGATATTAGTGATCCCGGATGATGTGGAAATTGTACCTTATTGAAGACTTTGTGAATCTCAATTATCATTGCGCTTCTTCTAATAATTTAATTTTGAGTGTATTTGCACTTTTTTTGTTGTTGTTGATTTTGTGCTGTTCTTATTTTGACTTATATTTTTCCCCCCTTAATTAGCAGAAAGAGCGGTGCCGGAGGTTTTGACAGATGCCTTGTGAAGTTGCTCATTGCAATACAGTGATTGTACGTTTTAAAGTAATTTTCAAATTCGAATGCATTCTTATGTCCCCTTTTATTGTCGCTGCTGTTGATTTTTTGTTTTTTTTACTTATACTTCTCACGGGTAGCAAATCTAAAAAAAATTTCTGCAATGCGAAAAAATTCTGATAAATTTCTTTGGAATTCCAGTTTTTTAGCTTTTCTCTTCCCCGACTGAGCAATTCTTTCGTCAAAATTTTCACGTGACAGACTGTTCCGAGGAGCTGAAATCCGAACTTCTTAGTCGCACACAAGCTAGATGCTGCAGCGTTCCACAAAAACGAAACCGTTTTAGGAACAAACCAATAAATTGGCTTTGTACAACACGCTGTTTATCGGTCCGGCCAATGTACCTGTTCTTTTTTTTTTTTCTTTGCTTTTTTCCAATGCTTTCTTTCCCTGCCTTTTAAAAATAATGCTTGATCTTTCATACTATTTGGTTTATTTTGTTTAATCGCTAACAAATAAAAAAAAATGTAAAATTTCTCGCAAAACTGCAAACCCCGGCATCTCATCGTAGTATGACAGTGGCAACACACTAGGCAGCACCGAGGAACAAATCCTGTTAGTTTCAAGCATGTTGAAAAGAAACCGTTGACCACTTTCACCCAGCTAATCACGGGTAGCACGAACAAATATTAGCATGACCACAGATTGTTAAGACAGTAAAAGTCACACAGCGATAAAAGCCAAGAAGCTGCAACTTTGCGGTATTGTTCCTTGCAAATTTAAATTCCGCGCCTCCCCGTGCGCCCGGGTGTCACTTTTCGCTCCGTGAATGTTTCGGTGGGAAAAATTATTATCTCGGGAACCACAAAAATTAGAAGTTTGAAATTTGAAGGTGATGTCCCCTAGAAACATACGGTCCCGCAAGTATGAGTTCGGCCTTCCCGCACAACTGGGTACCACGTACGCTCCCGTGAAAGTTTTGAC